CATGAGGACCCCATGAGAACCTGGTTCTTGGGTGAAGCCACCCTAAAGGCAACTCCTGACTTCAGTGGAGGTTTTGATGAGTATCCAGCCTGGAGAAAAGCTGCCAGCCAGTACATTGCACTTCCTTTACTGCTGGAGGAGACCAAGCTGAATAACCTAAAGGCTAAGCTGGGAGAAAATGTGAAAAAGTTGGTGAGGATGGTCAGTGTCCTTACCCTTAAACCTGTGACTACTCTCCTGGAGATCCTTGATCAGGAATATGGAGATATCTGGATGATAGTCCAGGACCAGTGAATCAAGCTAAGGAACCTGTCAAAGCCTAAATCTGAAAGCTATGACCAGAAGAGGGATTTCATCTTAGCCATTAGCCAGGCTGTTATCCCAAACTGTCGGATGTAAATAAAACTTTATAAGAAACTGCACAAGAACGTCTTCTTGTTTTCAGATCTTTAAGTTTTATCCGATGATTACTTGTTGAGATAATCCTTGTCAAGAAGCTTTAATCTTATGGCCGGAGTAAAGCGAATGAGACAACTTCTCTTTCAATTCAATACATATATTTCTGATGCAGCACAGCAACAGTCCAGACCAGCAATGAGCGACGAGAGAAGCGTTCAGACGCTCCTTTATAGACACTGTATGCGCGGAAAGGGCTACTGACCGCGCAGGACCGGAATAAACAGAAAGTAAACCGAGTCATGTGAATGACCGGTCAAAAGTAACACATTCCGGTGCTTGAACTAAAAAGCGTTGCTAGGCGGATCTCACATATGAAACACAGTTCGAGAACGGGGTATTATTACGCTGTTTGAGGACTCACAATTTATGATGACAAACTCTCCGCGGACAAAAAGAAAGAAAAGTTCCATCTTTTCAAAGTGCTACAGAATCATATTAGAACCCTTCAAGTGAATCATGAGTCATCATGAGTCATCTGGCTCATAAGTTTGAACAAGGAATTTGCCTGGGCCTGAGTGAATTTTCATCAGTTCCCATATGGCAACCCTTTGCCAGGAATTTGCTTCCAAGATGCTGAGGAATGTCTATCCTCACATCTGAGGGGGAGCAGGGTTGTGGTGGCATGTATTGACACATGACCTACATCTGTCTGGTATCAGAACCAATCAATCTCATTCAGTCTGATTGCTTGGTAGAGTGCACACCTCAAAAGTGAGTCTCAAATTTATTTTTGTATTTCTCAATTAAGTGGTTTTACCCCTGGATTTTTGACCTTTTCTCGAGTGAAATTCATTTGTGGACCCTCTAAAAGTGTTTCTTCATTTTTTTCTAATTTTGCCAGCCGACGACGAGTGAAAGAAGACGACAATCGTTGTAGAAAACGGGCGGCGCGGAACGGAGCGGTGTTGAAACTCTCCTCTGTGGGAATGGGCGGCGTCGCGGATTTTTGCCTCACAGGGGCGGCCATCTTTTTCATTCTGGTGAGTTCTCTAGGTACGACAGTCTTTTAGCAGTATTGCCAGGTGGGGTAAAGTAGAGTACCTGCAGTTATGACAAATAGGGGTACAACAATTTGGCATAATAATATGGCAGTGTTGCCACATGGCAGTACAACAGTGTAGCCATATGTTTGTACAAAGTGTTGCCACATTTTGTTGGTATTTCAATTCCCTTTTTGTCTTGTTTTCTGCAGGTCTTGTCCAAGTACCACATGGTGTTTGGCTCTGACTGTGCTGAAGTGGGGGGCAAGTTGGCATGCGACGATATTTGCGAAGCCCATGCTGCTCCTTGCTTCGGTTATGAGGTGGATTTCCTTAGTACTCGGTTGGACCTGGACTGCGTCTCTCATTTTCATCTCAAAGTAAATACATAAAAATGCTAAACATAAATTTAGTACTATATACATTCATGTTTTCCCTTTCCAGAAAGTTTTCATTCTGGGGCCTACCTTTTGCAGAGGTTCTGTGGAAGGCATGGATAAGCTAATTCAGCCCTGGAAAAACTGCTTTTTCTCCTTCAGGAGTGAGTATTTCTGAACTGAGGCAAAAACTGAGGCTTTTATGCTTTTCTGTTCTTGTTGTTTTTAGAAAACAAGATAGAAACCGATCATCAAACTACAAAGCAGATTAAAGAAGTGGTAAAGTCTTCTTCCGTGGTTCCCAGAGAACCAGGTTTTCTAGAGGAACATCGCCAGTTGTTGGAGAAGTTTTTCAAAGAGAAGCTAATCTTGACGGAGAAGTCCCGTACGGTTTCTTCTACTTCTCCCAGCAGTTCTGCTGACCCAGGTGGTTCCAAGGGGTCTGGTTTTTCTGCTAGTGCTTGGGTCCCGGTAGTTGAGGGCAAGGTTGTAGACCTGTCCAAACTGAAGAAAGAGACTGCTACCGATCTTGGGGAAACTAACCTGAGCACCATTATTAATTGGGGTCTGGTTTTTCTGCTAGTGCTTGGGTTCCGGTAGTTGAGGGCAAGGTTGTAGACCTGTCCAAACCGAAGAAAGAGACCGCTACCGATCTTGGGGAAACTAACCCGAGCACCATTATTAATACTTTGGCCAACGCTACCAGATTAAACATTACCACTGTTGATAAAGACGGGAATGTAGTTCACGCTGAGTTCCCGGTGGCAGTGGTTAAGATAATTGCCTATATTTCTGGTGGCGTGGGCACTCTTGTGGCGTCGGTTTTGGGTTTGATTTGCTGTTGCCGTTACAAGCTAAAGGTGTGTTGTTATTTTTGGTTCTTTTGGGTTCAGTGGCACACACATAACAAATTTTCCTTTTTTGTTGCTTGCATGGCTTTTCGGGTTGCTTCTAATTAGAGGGGTGAAGTAATTGTAACTCCAAGACGTTTTAAAGAGGTCAGTGAATCTTCTGAGAATACTGCCGTTACAAACCTTTCCTTTGGGGAGGCCCTTGAAATGTCAGAAATGAACAGAAGATTTGCTACGATTAGACCAGCCAGAAGGCGTAAGTTTGTGCATACTGCTTTTGCGCCTTTCCTGTGTATTCCACAGTTTTGTTACAGATACGCAGGACGGAACAGGGCACACTCGAAGTTTTACTATGTTTGGTTTGGCCCCTAGTACGGGTGTGGATCCGGATGAGAGCTCGTGTTGACCGATCGGACTTGGAATCTGGATTTGATGGCCACTTCGGAATGGACAGTATTAGGCCAGAGTCGGACGTCGGGGAGATCGGAAGTGTAGATAGTTTCAAAACAGCAAAGGAGTGATCCCCGTTGTTTTTGTTTTGTCGCAGTTAGGCTTCTGCTGTTCAGTTAGGGATCTGCAATAAAAAGCTTGTAACCCAGAAACTGATTTCCTTATTTATTCT